GCCCACCAGGCTCCACTGTCCATGGCGTTTCCCTGGGCAAGAATACTGGAGTGGATTGCCATTCCCTTCTCCAGGGGATCTTCCCAACCCAGGGGTTGAACTTAGGTCTCTTGCTTCTCAGGCAGATTCCTTACCATCTGAGGCACCACCTCTGCTGCTGCTGCTGCTGCTAAGTCCTTTCAGTCATGCCCGACTCTGTGCGACCCCATAGATGGCAGCCCACCAGGCTCCAGGCAAGAATACTGGAGTGGGTTGCCATTGCCTTCTCCAATGCATGCATGCATGCTAAGTCGCTTCAGTCATGTCCGACTCTGTGTGACTCTATGGACAGCAGCCCACCAGGCCCCTCTGTCCACGGGATTCTCTAGACAAGAATACTGGAGTGGGTTGCCCTTTTCTTCTCCAGAGCCACCACCTTTAGTTCCCTCTGATCTATAAAGTGGGTTAAATGAGGTCTCAGGTCCCTCACAACTCTAACTTCCTATGCATCTTCCCCATACAGCCAGTTCTTGCTTATTTCTGGATGTCTATTATAGGGTCAGTTTTAAAGCTTGAACTAGCTTCCTCTCTTCATGTGGTGGTTTTCTGTCCTTCCCTGTCTTTTGTATTCAGGAAATGGAAATTCATTTTTGAACAAGTAGATTCTTTGCAACTCTGCTGTGAAAAATCATGCTATTTCCTAAGAAACAGTTCCCCTGATTCTGGAGTATCAACTGTCCATCATTTTGGCTACCCAGTATCTCTTTCCACCATTAGTGCCGATGACTGCATACCACCAATAGCGCACCCTTTCCCTGTCCCTCCAGCTGCCCTCTACCTGTTGGAGCCCCAGCTTGGCTTGTCTTGGTGGACAGAGCTGTGCATTGCTAATACTTGGTTTTGGGTCACACTTTTCTAAGCATTGTAAGGGCCATCCCATTAGTGCTTCCAGATCTCAGGGACTGGCACCCCAGTCAGTGAGAACGCCAGAGCAACAAGGAGAAGCTCGGGGAAATTCAGCCAGCCCTGGGGAGGGAGCATTGAGGCGCAGCATGACACGCTTGCAGGCTTCTTGCCCAGCCTGGGCTTTTTAAGGCTGAATGAAAATGCAGAGCCAAGGAGAAAATATCTCATTCTCCTCTGGCCAGCCTGGGCTGAGGTCTTATTTTGCACGTGGCAGGACTTGGGGAAGGAGGAGGGGTAATGGGGCCAGGAGAGGATGATTTTGTGGTATCTGGGAAGGAATCTGGCCCTAGTATTACCACTCAGAGAGCTGGGGAAAAGCTGCGTGGCTGCTTTATTTTTCCTCTTCCTCCAAGACTGTTTGTGCAGGGATTTCTCTTCTTGTCTCATGTTCCAGATTCTTCTGTGGGAACTCTGTGGGTCAGGGGCAGGGAACGAGGCCAGGCTTTGGCTTCCAAAGACACTGTTTCTTCCTGGCAGCCCCGGCCTCTTAGGAGGATAGGCCTGGTTCTTCCTGGAGAAATGGTCGTCTAGCCCCTTTTTCTTTGAAGTCAGATCCCTCCTTGTTTGTGTGTCCCCCTCCCGCTCCCTTATTTGGGGTGGGGGCTTGGTTTCTAGGTGTCTTGTAGATAACGGCATGACTGATGCTTTACTGACCACTGCCTACTGAGGGCATGCTGCTTTCAAGGCACCACCTCCAGGGGAACTGAGGCCAGGCGTGCCACCTGTGTTCAACTCTGTGGGGTCTGCATTCTGGAGACTGTTTCCCAATCTGGTGGTGCAGAGTTTTTCTTGTTTGTTTGTTTTAAACTATTCTTCAAGGGCTTTCCTGGTGGCTCAGACAGTAACGAATCCGCCTGTAATGCAGGAGACCTGGGTTCGATCCCTAGGCTGGGAAGATCCCCTAGAGAAGGGCATGGCAACCCACTTCAGTATTCTTGCCTGGAGAATACCCATGGACAAAGGAGCCTGGCGGGTTATAGTCCATGAGGTTGCAAAGAGTTGGACACGACTGAATGACTAAGCACATCACAGCACATTCTTCGTGGTGACAAAACTTTATTCTTTGGATGCTAATTTGATTTTAGGAAACAGCCCAGCTTCATTTGAGGAAATCTAGGGGAGAAGAAACCAAGTCTGGGCAAGCTGAATGATCACATTTTTAGTTTTTTTTTTTAAAAAAAGCTAGGTTTGCCTATGAAGTGATGACGCAATTCGCTTATTTTTTATTTTAAATGACAGAGAAGATTGTTCTCAAGCGGCCAAAAATGTTTTTACATTTGCTGGGATAAGCACAGAGCCCAAGGAGGCAGCCACAAGGGCAGCCCTCTGCTCTGTTTGGGAGCTATGGAATTGCCTGTGGGTCTGGGGGTTGGCAGCATTGTGGGTGAGGCCCAGGGTGCTGTCTGTGACAGCAGACCCACTCCTGTGCCTTGTGGGGAGGGAGGGAAAGTGAGCTTGGTTCTTTTGCCAAGTCCCCAATAGGCCGGCATTCAGATGATGCTGAGGAGGGAGATGGAATAAGAATGGTTCAGTACCAGGGGGTCTGTCTGACAGGAGAGAGCTTCCCCTGAGCCAGTGGATCTGCCTGGAGCCACAGGCAAAAGCTTGAGAAGGGGCAGGTGTAGGACCATGTGTATGTCCCTCGTGTAACTCAAGAGGCCTTTGTCCACTGTTTTAGAGGGCTGGTCTTTGAAAGAATTGGGGGTGTGAGAGCTGGGGTCTGGGCTGTGAGAAGCTCTCTGGGAATAATCTGGTTCCCAAGGACTCAGGCTCTTTTTCAGGATGGTGACCAAAGACTTTGGGAATGTTGAAATGGCTGCTGAAGAGATCTTGTCCAAAGTTATGGCTAGCCAGGAGGTCTCTCCTCGGTGGGGCGGGATCCTTGGCAAAGCGCTAATGTGGGGCATACTAAATACATCAGTCCAGCTACTGAGCTCAGAGTCAGATAAGAGCCAGGTCTGGGGAACAGAGGGATTGATGCCCACACTTAGCATCTGCTGTATACCAGGCATCTAGGTACATCATCTCATGTCGGGTGGATGTTGCAATCCCCATATTACAGATAAGAAAACAGAGGCACAGGTAGTGAACCCGCTTGCCCTCATCTCCTCACTACCTTCTCTCTGCTCAGTTGCCTGCATGCTTGTTTAGTCTTTGCTCTCAGCACATTGCATTATGATTATTTACCCATTCCTAGAAATTCTAATGGAATTACTCTGGGATGGGGCCGGGTTTTGGTGTCATTTTAAAAGCTCTCCTGCTGATTTTAATGTGTGGCTAGGGCTGAGAACTGCTGGTTTAGATAATAGGTTTTTCATTTTTGTGTATCATGGGTAAAGACTCCACCTGCAATACAAGAACCCCAGGAGACTCAAGTTTGATCCCTCGGTAACGAAGATCCCCTGGAGGAGGGCATGGCAACCCACTCCAGTATTCTTGCCTGGAGAATCCCGTGGATAGAGGAGCCTGGCAGGCTATAGTCCATAGGGTTGCAAAGAGTCATGCATGCAAGACCTAAGTCAGTGGTCCTCAAATTTGAATGTGCACCAGAATCACTTGGAGAGTTTATTAAGACACAGGTTGCCGGAGTTTCTGCTCTAGCAGGTCTGGGGTGAGCCCAAGAATTTGCATTTCTTAGGGTTACAGATGTAGAAAATAAGCTTATGGTTATGGGGGGCGGTAAAGGGGAAGGGATAGGAAGATTGGGATTGACACATACACGCTATTGTATTTAAAATAGATAACTAATAAGGACCTACTGTGTAGCACAGGGAACTCTACTCAATACTCTGTAGTGGCGTATATGGGAAAAGAATCTAAAAAAGAATGGATATATGTATAACAGACTAACTTTACTGAAAACTTGAAACTAACACAATGTTGTAGATCAACTATACCCCAATAAAGATTTTTAAAAAGATCAGTTCTTGAGACCACAAATCAGGAAAAAATTGCATATCTAACAAGTCCCCTGCCTGTGTGAGGACCATACTCTGAGAGCACCTGATCCCTTGGAGCAAGAGCAGCCCATTAATAGATGCTGACTGACTTGGGTATATTATCAAATCACCCAAAGATTTGAACCCTGAGCTGCCTGATAGCAAAGCCCACCCTCTTATCATGACACTGAGCCTACTCTCGGGGAGCCTGAGGGAACATGTAGAGTAGGCCTGACATCTTCTTAGGCTCCAGGAGGAGGGTAGAGTTTGTTGGTCTTTATAAGTCTCCTCACAGGGAGAGACAATACCAGTTTCCTGCCAGGAAACCCAGAGGTGTTGGAGGCCCAGAAACTCTGGGTAGAGGTTCAAGGCAGCAAAGAGATTCTGAAATTCCAAGCCTGGATACAGACTCCTGGTGCTGGGTGTGACCTGGGAAAAGACAGTCATGGATGTGCATTGTCCCACAGTGTTTGTGACCAAGCTGGTGACGTGGCTTTAAAGTTACATGCCTCGCTTGTGCTCCACAGGAAATTCAGGGGCCTCTAGTGAGGGAAACATGGCTCAGTGAGGTCAGAGGTAGGGGAGTGAGGCCCCAAGCCATCCGGACAAGTAGGGGACAAGGTGGGTGGGGTGGAACGGCTGTGAGAGTTTGCGCAGCTGGAAACGGTGTATTTAGGAGAGGAGGAGGAGAGCTGTGCTGGGAAGTATAGCAGGATGTGAGGAGCTCCCATTCTCCAGAAGGATGTGCTAAGATACCTGGAGACTTGAGTCACCTGGTTTTGCTAAACAAGGAATAATTTTTAAAAATCCACCCTCAAACAAACCTTCACTTAAATGCCTACTGTGTGCACAGCACTGTTCTAGAGGCTATGTGAGGTCTTCAAGACAAGACTGATAAAACCAAGAGAGGGATATATCAAATGATTGGTACAGATGGAAAGTCTTAGGAGTGGGGAGAAGGGTCCTGTGTGCTGTGTGGCTGGGGAGGCGAGTCTGCTGGTCCTGGCGGGAGGAGTGAGTGTGAGATGTGTAGTGATCATGGTGTGAGCAGGGTGGGGGGAGGAAGCCCCCCTTGTGTGAACGGCTCAGTCTGAGGGCAGTGGGGGTGTGTGGGGAATGATGGTGAAGATATGGAGGAAGAGGGAGGTGAGTGTAAGACACTTTGTTCTGGACTATTGTGTCCTCTCTCCCTCAAAACAAGAGAGTCTGGGTCTCTGAGTACCCCTGAGGACCCCTGCCTCCTGGTGGTGGGGCTGCTGGTACTGACTGCTTCTTAAAAGAGTTTCTCCGAGGAGCCCTCACAGGCAAAAGTTCACATTATTTTTACCTTTTCCAGAAATAATAGTGGTTGGAAGGAGAAGAGAAAAGCCCTCCCCTTTTAGAGGTGGTGAGACTGAGATCCAGGGAAGGGCAGGGGCTAGAAATGGGGCTCAGATGTGGGTTGGATGCAGGAAATGGTTGAGCTAGCCCTCTGAATGGAATAATATCTGCTGAGCACAGTCTTCCCTGAAGAGCACTGGGGCCTGGGCACTTGATCCTAAGTGTGTTCTGTGCAGTCTGTGTCTTTGAAGGACTGGGAAGAAAGTGTGGAGAAAAAGGGAGGTCAGAACAAACCTAGACAGAACATAAGGCCCCAGACATCTCCCCCTGGCCCCAGCAGGCTGGTATTATCTGAAGCCCCTGTCCTGGGTGCTATGACCTGGCACCGTGGTTGCGGGAGTCCCCTCCCACAGTTCATGCCACTCCACCCTCTGACAGTCTTCTCTCTGTCCCCCTCCTACCCCATCCCAGTAGGAGCAGAGCATTTAATCAATATTGCAAAATCCTGTCTCCCTACTGGATGACCCATTAGGTAGCATCTTAGCTGGTCTTTGGAGGGACCCACTCTTTTCTGTTCCATTCCCCCTGTCAAAGCCATTAATGGCTCCCTCAACTCTGAAACCAGCCAGATTGCCTAAGGAGGGGGAGTGGGGTAGACATCTGAGCTCTAACTCCACCAGTGGTATCACCCAAGAATAATTATAACCAAAGAGGAGTGTTCTGTTGCCTTGGCAACTCTCTTCATGGGTTCTGGAGCTCAGAATATCTGACAGATTTCAGTGTTTCACCCGCAATGAGCAGAGATGGAGGAGCAGATCAAAGGGTGAATCTCGGGAATCAGGACCAGGGCCAAAGATGACAAGGGTGACTAAGATAAGGTGTAAGAAATGGCTGAGCTCACAAAGGATTCACTCCAGTCCTACCCTCTCGCGCCTTCTCTCCTTCCACCTTTCCTTGCACATCTGTGCTCCTTGTCTGTCCTGGGGCCTCTTGTTTTCCCTTGTGTACTCTGAGCCCCCAGCATGAACTGGGGGTGGCCTGTATGGGCAGAATTCTGCTGGTAGCTGAAGGAAAAGCAGTGGGTCCAGAGGGAAGAACAGCTGGGGACGACGTGTGACTCTTGGTCACGGCTGTAGTCCTCAGAGAGCTCCACACTTGTTGAGGGAGAGCATGGTCTTCCCCTCCATGGCACCCCTGCTGGGAGGAGAGGAAAGACCTGGGTGTGAGGGAGCCTAGTGGTGGGGAGTGTGGTGTTCTCGGATATTGTTTATCTTTGTGTATATCCTGGGACAAATAATGAAGAAGTGAGGTGACAGAAACTGCATCCCAGAAAGTTGTGCAGCTCAGGCAAGGGTGGGGGCCCGGGAGGGTTGGAGGCCTGCAGCAGGGGACTAGGGAAGCTGGCTGGAGGAGAAAAGCACTTTTGTGGCCAAGGAGGGCTCTCCTCTCAGGTTCCATTGCTGGAACCTTTTTCTCTGGAGATGTGGTCCTTTGTGAGAACGTTTCCTTGGCCACGGAGGCCAGAGTAACCAGGAGGCAAAGGGCCCTGGGGCACTCCCTTTATGTTGTCCTCTGAAGAAAACATGCTGAACGGGTGCTTGTGGATCAAAGTCAGGTTGCATATGTTGAGCACTGGAAACTCCCTTGGAAACACAGCAAAGTCCTTTCCTTCTGTGGCTCACTTCCTAGGGCACCATCCTCTCGAGCCACACTTTGGCCAGCATCTGAATGTGATGGCTCCCTTTGCTTTGTGTGCAATTTATTAGGCACTGGCTGTGTGCTCGGCCCTCTGTGGGAGAGACTCTTCCAAACCACTCTTCGGAATCATCCTTCCCGCTCTGTGGAGACCTGCAGGATGAGGAAGGGGTCTCTCTGCCTAGTTAGGGATGGGCTGGTGCAGAGGAGAAAGGCAGAGCCTTGGGCCAGGTGAAATGGCATGTGAGAGTGGTAACTCTGAGATACCTTGGGTGTCTTCACACCTGGGTTTCAAGGAAGATGTGAATGCTAGCCTCCAATCTGCTGAGGAGTGAGGTAGAACCCTGGAATTTGGAAAATAGGACATCATGTCATCATTGAAGGAACAGTTTCAGAGAGTGGTGGGCAAAGGAAAGCCTAGCTGGGTGACAAAGGAGAATTTCTGCATCACTTGGAAGTGCCTCCTGGCTCTGACTACAGTGTCAGAGATTGTACCCAAGTGCTGCATTTCAGGCTCTTTTGTTGTCTATGAGGGCTACTCCACTTCTTCTAAGGGATTCTTGCCCACAGTAATAGATATAATAATGATCTGCATTAAATTCACTCATTCCCATCCATTTTAGTTCACTGATTTCTCAGCTCTCAATATTCTCTCAGGTCCATATAGTCAAAACTGTGGTTTTTCCAGTAGTCAGGTATAGATGTGGACCATAGTCAGGTATAGAGTTGGACCATAAAGAAGGCTGAGTGCTGAAGAATTGATACTTTTGAATTGTGGTGCTGAGAAAGACTCTTGAGAGCCCCCTGGCAGCAAGGAGATTAAACCAGTCAATCCTAAAAGAAATTAACCCTGAATATTGGAAGGACTGATGCTGAAGCTGAAGCTCCAATACTTTGGCCACCTAATGTGAAGAGCTGTCTCATTGGAAAAGACTCTGATGCTGGGACAGATTGAAGGCAAAAGGAGAAGGGGATGACAGAGGATGAGATGGCTAGATAGCATCACCAACTCAGTGGATATGAATTTGAGCAAACTCTGGGAGATAGTGAAGGACAGGGGAACCTGGCATGCTATACAATCTATGGGATCACAAACAGTTGGACGTGACTTAGCAACTAAACAACAGTTCAACGGGTTATTCCTCATGGGAGAATTTGTTACTTAAAAGAAGCAAGTTAGGCTAAAGAAATAAATCTAATGGTAGAATTTCATATGCCCTTAACAGTCAGGCAGAGATGATATTTGGGGGCCTTTGGGCTGCATTTATAGAACAGTTATAACCCCTCTCTGCTCTGTATCTGTCAGGCCTTATCCTGAGGATGAAATTCAGTTCAAGATGTGTCAAATCCGGCTTCAGGGGAAACATACTATTTGACAGGTGGAAGGGGAAACTGACTCTTTTTTGTGTGTGTGCTATCCCAGAGAGTATAACTAGGTCTTCTGAATAGATATTAATGAAAAAAACTGAATCAATAAGAACTGATCAGTAACGGAAAGACCTGCTCTGGGGTGGGGTTGAAGGGAGCTAACATTTAACTGACACTGTATGTATGTCCTGCACTATGTCAGGTACTTGAAGCTTGTCTTTTATACTCTTCACAGAAGTTGGGAAACTTGCCCACACTCAAGATGGAGCTGCTGTGATTCTTACCCAGATCTCTTGACTCCAAAATCTCATTCCTTGTATCTGTACTGAGATGCCGGGTGTGGTCCTTTGTGGTCCCTGTCCCTGACAGATGCTGACGGTCTCTCCCGAGAGCCCAGAAGGGATTACAGCTTGAAGAGGGAAGCGAATTCCAGTCTTCTAGGCCTGACCCTGACAGAGAGCCTCACTAGCTCTATTGATGGGAATAATTATGGGTTTGCTCAGATATTTTGTTTCCATTCTCCTGTGATTTCTCTTATCAGGACATACAGTTCTAACTCACAGACCAGCTGTCCTGACTTTACTGGGGGCTTCAGGAGTAGGGGTGGTCTCTTCTCACCCTGGACAATGGATGAGCCCACCTTCTCTCCCCCAGCCTAAGCTTTTCTTTCCCTGAGTTTATGATTCATGATTTTGGATATCCCAAAGGAACCTTAGACAGAATGTCTAAAATGAAACTAATCAACCTCATCACCATCCTCCTCCCAAATTTTACTTTTTGCTAGACTTCTCTAGTTCTGAACATGACCCGCTCATTCTCGGGAAGCTCAGGTTGACTCTGATCCCAGCATCTCCTGCTCCCCATTCACCAGGACTTTCCCATTTATCTTGAAACACTGAGGACTTTGTCCTCCCTGCCAATCCCAAGGCCACCCCCTTGTTCAGACCCTCCTCAGTCCATCCTGGCTCTGAGTGCTGCTGGCTGCCTTTCCGTCAGTTCCTCTGTAGTCTGTCCTTCCCCTGTTCACGTGTGCTCAGTGGGTTCTCACAGCCTTCTAGTTAAGGATCAGACTCTTCACTCCATCAGCCAAAGTGCTCTAGTCTCTCCCAGTCCAGCTGTTTCCCACCAGCTGTGTCTTCTAAGCAGAGAGAACATATTTCTGCACTTTTCTCCCCAGGATGAGATTTTTCCTGTCCCAAATGTCCTCACCTCTCTCCCCTTCCCCCGACTGTGCCGCATGGAATCCTCTAAGGATCATATCCATTCCCCTTCCTCCGCAGATCTGTGTCCGCCCAGATCAGAAGCAGCAGTCCCCCCACTTACACTGTGCTATGATATACTGTACTTTTGAACACCTTCTTTGGGACTTTGTGGAGCATTTCACTAATTGTTGGTTTTCACATTTTATCTTCTTGGTTGCACATTAATTTAGGATGAAAAGTGCAAGTCAAAGTATTAGTTACTCAGTTGTGTCCAATTCTATACAACCTGCCTGACTCCTCTATCTTTGGAATTCTCCAGGCAAGAATACCGGTGTGGGTTGCCATTTCTTTCTCCAGAGGATCTTCCCAACCCAGGGATCGAACCTGAGTCTCCTGCATTGCAGGCAGATTCTTCACTGTCTGAGCTACCAGGGAAGTCCCAATTTAGGGTAACGACTGTTTTATATACCATTTTCTTTTGATTCGCATTTAGCACAATGCTGGGGCTCAGACAGTAAAGAGTCTGCCTGCAATGTGGGAGACCTGGTTTGATCCCTGGGTTGGGAAGATCCCCTGGAGGAGGTCATGGCAACCCACTCCAGTATTCTTGCCTGGAGAATCCTCTTGGACAGAAGAGTCTGGCGGGCTACAGTCCATGGGGTGGCAAAGAGTTGGACACGACTGAGCGACTAAGCACAACGCAGCACAATGCTGTGAGTGAGAACTGCCCAGTTCTCCTTCCTGCTCACCACACCCTCCTTCCCCACAGAGCCCCAAGGAGTCTTCCTTGTTAATCCTGGAGGCTTTCGAGCTGCCAGTGTCTTTGTCCATGCTGCTTACCCACACCCCCATTCCCATCCTATCTGTGTCCTGCCATCTTAGAAAAGCAGTGGGAACCAGTGGCAAGTGCACTGGCTGTGGAACCAGGTGGATCTGGGTTTGAATCTTGCATCTGCTACTTACTAGCTATGTAGCTTTGAGCATGTTACTCAACCTCCCTGAGGCTTGGCTTATTCAACTCTGAAAGCCCTTCATCCTTAGGTAAAGGTACATAATAGGCCCTCAAGATCAGTCTCCCACTTCTCCACCCCATCTTCAAATCTTCCCTCTTCCACGTAGCTCCTGAATATTTTATTACATACAGAGCTGTGCTTCCCCTGAAATCCTGTAGTGTTTATAATGGCAAGGACTTGTCAGAACTGGAAGGATTGCTTAGTTTAAGTCTTGTCTTAAAGATCAGGAGACTGAGGCTCAGAGACCTCTAACAACTAGCCCCAGGCTGCCTGGAACCCATGGGGACTGAGTCAGGTCTCGCACTCAGAGCCGTGACCCAGCAGTGTCCGTCAGCATGGTGCTGGCCTCTGTAGCCAGCACGGTCTGGGCCCTCCCTCAACCCTGGGGCTGCCTTCGCCCCCACCGCATCCTGTGCAGTGTAGAGTGCACGTGGAGGAGAAGCCTGATAAACACTTGTTGACGGACTGTTTCTGTGCCTATGTATCTCACTGCCCTGGTGGACTGCGTGTTCTCCCAGGCAAGAAATACGCCAGCATTTATGCTGTTCTTTGTCCCTTTTTGGTATTCAGTACAGACCTGATTATAGTAACAGAAGGTTAATTTCAGCCCCAAGAACAAGAATTTTCATAGCCGGGCAGGAGGTCCTCTGTGTGGTTTCTGGGGCTGTCCCCACAATATTCTGTCTGCCTCTGGCGTGTGTGGTTCTGTTCAGTGTCCATTTATGCTGTTGGAGAGGGCCCACTCCCACTCCTTCGGCTTCCCCGCCACACCCCCCGCCCTCCCCGCTCCCATCTCCCCCAACCCACGCCCTGTGTGGTGCTGCTGTGCTGCCTGCCCTGGCTAAGAATAAATCATCACGGTTGCATAGCAACGAGTTTGCTTTCCTTAACTCCTCCTTCTCCTACTCCCTTAAAAGTGCCTCAGCTCTAAATTTATGGTAGTGTGTCAGGAGATGCCGTTACCCCACAAATGTCTCCAAACCCCAGTGTTGTTCCTCCAGTAGCTGCTAGCTTTATGAGGACAGAGGCTGATGGATGGCTGTGTTCACCTGTTCTCCCAGCACCTAGTACAGTCTTGGCACATAGTAGGTGCTCAGGAAGTATCTACTGGATGGTGAATAAATGAATCACTTTCTCAGAATCCCTACAGTTATGAGGTCCTTCTGGGACTCAGAAATGTTATTATGGATCCTGGGGTGGTCAGTGATT